CCTGCTGAAGCTCCCCCCCCCCCCCCCCCCCAAAAAAAAAAAAAAAAAGTAATATTAGAGTGCGAACGGTGCCATTTGGTACGGTTTAAAACCATGATTCAACTAGTGAAAATTCGAATTTCAAGAGGGGATTATTAGTGTGATTTCTTCAGAAAACGAAGAGGGATGGGGGGGGGGGGGGGAGGTTGTCAGGACCCCATTGACCCTCCTAAATCCGCCGCTGCCTAGGTATGTAGGAAGGCGTATGTGATAAAAGAGTAACACTGAAATAACTAAACATTGCATATCATTGCGGGCAGAGGCGGTCATGCTATGCGGTAAATTCAAGTATTCTCATGCTTCCTTTTCCCTCTCATTCTTCCAAAGCTTATATATTCAACGATTAAAAGATAATCAAGATAAAAGGAACCTGGGTCAATAATTTGGGTAACACCAAAAATTCTACAATGTGCATCTTCTCTTCTTCCATAAATGATGAGAAAGGGGTTTTAGACTAAAACCGAAATATTTTTTGGCATGAAACCCACAAATTTAACACTATATCCTAGTGTTTGATACTCTAATAACATTTGTACTCGTAATCTTAACTATTTATCATTTTGTAATTTTTCAAAAACATTATCTTCAGGCACTTGGCACAGGTCCTGTGCATTATCAATCAATGGGAAACCCCCTCAGTTTCGTTTCCAGGGGAATAACCTTTCTATTCTTCCAAATTTGGTAATCTTTTTTCACATTACTTATTATCTATTATTACATTTAAAGAAAATATAACATTAATTAGTTAAAATTTAGATAAAATATTTAAAACTCGTTTCAAACACTTGAATGAATCAATTTCCTTTGGACTATTGTACACCATTTATATTGGTAAGAGAGAAAAACCTTAGTGTAAATTGTAGCTACCACGCAGGCAATCACTCGAACTCGAATCCCTTTATATATGGGAGACTCCAACTACTGTAACCAGAGCCGGTCTTGACCCCGGCCAGGACTTCGTCAACTCACTCAACTACTGCCATAGCTGAGTGAAGGGACGTGAGTCATTGGGTCCTAGCCTGGGTGCCAGCAACAGTGGTGCCTTGGGTGGAACACAGCAAATGGCTTGGGTTGATATGTGGCTCGCTATGGTAGCGAAGGGGCGAAAACCTCTTTTAAAAAATATTTTGTTTCCCATTATTTTTTCCCTGATGAACTCTCCAACAAGACGGTGGCTGTGCCGATTAATAATTNAAAACTCGTTTCAAACACTTGAATGAATCAATTTCCTTTGGACTATTGTACACCATTTATATTGGTAAGAGAGAAAAACCGTAGTGTAAATTGTAGCTACCACGCAGGCAATCACTCGAACTCGAATCCCTTTATATATGGGAGACTCCAACTACTTTGACCAGAGCCGGTCTTGACCCCGGCCAGGACTTCGTCAACTCACTCAACTACTGCCATAGCTGAGTCAAGGGACGGGGGTCACTGGGTCCTAGCCTGGGTGCCAGCAATAGTGGTACCTTGGGTGGAACACAGGAAATGGCTTGGGTTGATATGTGGCTCGCTATGAAAGGGGGCGAAAACCTCTTTTAAAAATATTTTGTCTCCCCTTATTTTTTTCCCTGATGAACTCTCCAACAAGACGGTGGCTGTGCCGATTAATAATTTCAGAGAAAACCATTTGTAGGGGGGGGGGGGGGTGCTGAAGGGCTCCGAAAAATTTTTGGTATTTTAGATGGCGAACGGCGCCATTTGGTAGAACTATGTTTCAGCTTGTGAAAATTCTAATTTCAAGAGGGGACCCATTGTGAGATTTTTTTTTCAGAAATCTAAGAGGGGTGGGGTGGGGGGGGGGTCAGAAACCCCCTGATCCCCCTACATCCGCCACTGTTGTGCATATACCTCAGATAACTGTGTCACCGAATATAAATATTGAAAAATAATACTTACTTCCATGATGATAAAACTTTGATTAAATAATTTAAACTTATAAAAGGTGAGTTTTTTTTTTTTTTTTTTTTTTTTTTGAGTTCAATATGAATGCTCTAAATATAAAACAATAGTCCAATAAAATGATGGTTCATATATATATATATCACTTAAATAAATAGTAAAAATGTGGTTGAATAATATACTTGATGCATTTTAGAACTGATCGGGTGCTGTATTTCTGGACCCGAAATAAGTTGACTGAATGTAGTTACTTTAGTACGATTCAAGGAAACGCGATATATGACAAGCGACTTATAATAGGCCTACATGTATTCAATATTCTGTATAGCCTATCGCACAACGATATAGCCAGTTGCCAATTTTTTCACTAGTTTTACAACACAGTTCCCATACACACTGGCTGGGTGGAGTTGGTGCAAGCTCCAAGATATCCTATTATTGATATCTAGCCTTATATGTAGCCTACTGTATATGTGACTATACTTATAGCACAAACGTATAGGAAAAATCACTTTATTTTGCCTTTTTGGTTTTCGTTCGTTATTCCTCTTTTATATTTATTTATTTATTTATTTATTTATTTATTTATTAAGATATTTTTTTCTGGGTTGAGAAGGAAAATCTTCCCTTATAAGTGATAGGACGAATAGCACAATTTAAAAATGCGATAGCGGTGCCAGCATGTGAATGCTGTAACCAAAACGACCTTGACCTTTTGTGATAAAGAGGCTTTGTGCGTGGTGCAGCCGGTAGGTAGTAGTCCTTTTCTTCACAAATAATAAGTTATTTTGTCATATATTTACCAAATTTGTTTAAAAAAGAATTTGAGTAGCAAGTAAAATGCGTCCTTTGCTATGATGATTTGTAGGAAATACCCATTCAGGGTACTTTTCGATGTGATTGCCGAGTATTTTTAGCAAGAACTATCGTCTTTCACTTCTGCCTTGGGGCATGATGATATAGCGTTAGTTGTAAACCTGGAAATGGAACCTAACCCAAAAGAACACCAGGTTACAGATATACACTAAAGATGCTGTGCTGTACTAAACTAAAGTTAGTAGACAATCTCGTGAGTCTTAAAAAATCGCCCTCTAAATAGTAACTACTTAAATTCAGTTTCAGTTATTTTGCTTTTATATTCACTGCTGCCTCTGTACAAATACTGTAATGTTTATAGGCACAGTATAGGTGAAGGTGGGTCTAAGTTGTGCATGCAGTGTACATTTTCCTCCCAAATTTTACCCTATCAAGTCCCGCATTGAAAAGTTTATATTTTTTTTTTCATTAAGATATAGGGAGTCTAAGTTAAAATTTTTGAAAAAATCTGTCCTCTTTTTCAAAAAAATGTGTAGTAAGGGGATCCAAGATGGGCTAAATTTGGCACTGTGGTGAAGACCTAAGAGATTTGGAAACCTATGAGAATCTTGTTTGAGGTGGTGTTTCACCTTACTTTACAGCAGTAAGGGTGAAAGTTGATACACTGGGAATACCTTCTTAAAAAGCATTTACAAAAGAAAGTGCGATACACGAAACATGGTGAATTTGTACTGTTGTGCAAAAGACTGTAGTTGGACAGAACTTGAGAGTGAACAGCCAGAAATGTAACCATCTATAAATACTCAGTTTGCTTGGTAGTTTGCTATTGTTTCTGACCCGACTTTTCTCCCAATACTGCAAATACTCAGTACTTGATTGATTTGTCCATAAATTGCAAGATTATTAACTGTCTCAAATAATTCTCATTTGTACTTCCACCAGATGATCACATGGAGAAAATAAATAATTTCTTTCAACTGGTAATTTCACTATTTTAAATGTCATGTTTAAATGATGTGCCATGACCCTAAAGAAAAGTTCAGTATAATGTACAGAAAGTTTAAATAAATAGACCTTCATAATTTATCTTTCTTTAAATTAATTTTGACTTTCAAGTCTAACATTTTATCTTTTAGCTGTCTTTTGAAAATGAAAGCCACTATATTACTGGGCCTACTGCTAGTGCTGCCCTCTGTGTGGGCAGGACAAGCCAATCCCCATGGTGCCGATCTGGATGATAACGACTTTGCAGAATTTGAAGAAATAGATGAAGGTAATCTGTAAGATTAAGTTTTATGATCATAAAAACATGAGATTCTGAAGTACTTAGATTTTATACGAGTAGAAAAGTCATTTGGAATTGGAAAAAAAATTTGAAAATTTTTGAAAATTTCTCTTAGTCAGGTGATGCCTTTTTGTGCACAAGGATATCACAAAATGTAGCAGTTAAGCAGATAACTCAGCAAAGATAACAATAATAAATTAAAATAATTTAGATGAAGGTCGACTCGAGTCCCAGAGCTTTACTAGTATGTGAAGTGGAGGAAATAATTTGAGAGACTTTGTATCGTCAGTTAACTCCTCTGTTCTGCCCTACGGACTTTGCAGTGATTGCTTTTCCTAACTTCAATCACAGTTTGAGCCGAAAACGATGGGTCTTGCCATGCTGTAACCATGGTTTATAGTAACCATATTTTTATTTTTAGTGATAACTCTGATGAAAGTGAACACCATGCATTTTTAAATGTACTTCAGCAATAATTGATCTGATGATATCTGTTGCAGAAGAGGCAGCATTTGAACAGCCTCCTCAGCAACAACAACAACAGCAACAACAGCAGCAGCAGCAAAAGCAGTTTGGAGAACAGCCCAAGAAGGTTGTCATGGCACCAGTTGATGACGATGAGGAAGAAGACGGAGTTGTAGAGGTAAATTTCAGAAGGTTATAAACCACTTGTTGTCCTTTGTAAATAATCTTTAAAAGCCATCCATGTAAAGTAAAGAAGAGTAGTATGAGCTGTCATTTAAGTATCTGTGTGTTTATTTGGTATATTCTTAATTTCTCCCAGATATGCCTTTCAAAACATTGCCATGTCTTTCCCCTCTCTAGGATTACCCCTGTAAATTTTGGGATTATGTATAATAATATTTATGATATTTGCAGTTAGATTTCTTAGGTTAAAAATATCGTAACAATCCTGTGTATTGCAGTGTGTTTTTGGTCTGGTCTTGGTTTCTCCACCACAGGCAAAAATATGTTATGTTTCTTAATATTTGATTTATTTTTGTTGTGAATTTTAAGAAGCCAAGTCCTAGTCAAAGCTAAAACTGTTCTTAGCATCCCTAGTTATTACATTTTCAATTTTGAGATTAGAAGTTGTTGATGTTGTGTTTTCTCTCTAAAACTGTCCAACTGAGAAACATTTTCTCTTTGTGTAATTTTGTTATTATTTTTTATTACTACAGGATGAGGATGAGTTTGAGCACTTGGATGATGAGGAATTTGAAGGCATCGACCAAGACACGGTCAACCTGAGGAAGGGGAAGGATCAGACCCCTCCCCCCTTGGAAATAACAAAGGTGATGCTAGCTTTTGATACTATTGCCTCAAGAATAAGTAAAATGTCCACTCTCCTAGAAACCATCACGGTGACCCCTCCCCCCCCCCTCCAAAAAAAAAAAAATAATAATAATAATAAAAAAATAACTATAATAAAACAATAATAATTATATACTCTATACAGAGTTTTAGTAGAATATTTTACTCAGATTAGCCCTCTGAGTGACTTAATCAGATAACCCTTTTTACTTAATTTATTTAAATATTTATTTATTTATTTATTTATTTATTTATTTATTTATTTATTTATTTATTTATTTATTTATTTATTTTTAATGATTTTTAAATTTATTTTTATAATTATTTTTATCTTTCTACACTGATAAAAAGCATTAATGACATTTCCTCATTTAAAGTTGTTGTGATTTGATATTTTTTTCACTATATTTTCTCAGATTCCCCTTCACCTGAGAACCAACTGGGACAGTTTCTATCTGGAAATGCTGATGTTGGCAGGACTGGCTGTCTACTTCCTCAACTTTATTGCAGGGAAGACCAAGAACAGTAAACTGGCCACGGCCTGGTTTGACGCACACAAAGAGTTGCTACATAAAGAGTTCAGTATAGTGGGTAGGTGTGGGGGAAAATGTATGTTGATTTATGAAAGAACAGTTTCATTAGCTTGATATTTAATAGTTACTGGTAGTGTAACATGTGAATAATGTACTTCTCAAGTCAGACAAAATTGATATGCTGGTGAATGAGCAGCAACGTAATTTTTTTTTTCAAAATGTGTCATATTTAACAAGCATGGCTGCAGCTAGATTTACAGTTGCTTACTTTATTGTGTTTTCAGTTGTCTTTCTTTCTTTCTCCTTTAAACATGTAGATTCAGTCATGCGCTATCATTGCTAAGGGTACATGCCTTCCTAATTGTTAGTTTGTAACAAAGTACGTGAAGATTTTATATTTTGTTCTCTCTATCCACCAGGTGATGACGGGCAGTCCAAGGAACCCACAGAGAACCACCTATTAAAGGAGTCTGAGCACACTTACTCCCTCTGGTGTAGTGGAAGAGTGTGCTGCGAAGGAATGTTGGTGGAGCTGAAATTATTAAAACGCCAAGATCTCATCAATACGATATCGCGGATGTTGAGCCCAAAGTCGGATCAGATAGTAAGTAGCAGTATTCAGATAATCACTGGAGGCTAGTGGCTAATGTTTATGACATCTGACAGTTATGTTGTACATTTTTGTTGTGAGAAGTCCTGAAAATATGAAGTACATTCTTAGTACAGATCTTTCCTTTATCCTAATTTGGAAATATAGTCAAATTTCTAGTGATTTAATACATTTGGTGTGAAAGTTAATGATAGCTCCATGATGTTAATTTGTAAGACAAACATAATGTGTAAGTTAACATGTTAACCACAACTTCTTGAGGGACTTAGATTTTGGCCTACCAGTACCAGTGTATGAATGCTCATGATAATTATTTTAGTGTCAGTATCAACTTGAACCTAATGTTGCTGTTATGATATTTTGTGATCTGTTTTGTTGTTTTTTATTCCATTTGATAAAAGTCATGATGAAAGAGATAGATACGGATGGTTTTTTGTTTGTTTTTGGTGATATTTTATATTCTAGTTTAGTGATTAATGTTCCAGTTGATAAAAGTTACCATGGAAGAGACAGAGATGGATAGTTTTGTGTTTGCTGTTGCTCAGAAGAAGGTGGCTTCCAAGCTGTTGAAAGAGCAGACAGATCTGGTAGGTGTGGAGCTGTCTTCTCTCTCTCTCTCTCTCTCTCTCTCTCTCTCTCTCTCATCCACTTTATTTTAACTAACAATACAACTTTATGTTGTCTCAAGTAATGCTTTTTGGGTGAGACACTAAAGCTTACAATATATTTGCCAACTTCACTAAAATAAAAATTATGTTAATCTATTTAAACCAAAGTGGAATATTTTTTGCCACTGGATTAAAAGAAAATACACACCCTTTTGAACTGGGTATTTTTTCCCCAATGTCATGTGAAATTAAATTTTGAATAGTAAGATGAATATTAAATACATAAAACCAGGCGTAATTATTTTCATTTGACAACTCATTTTTATATAAAGCATTATGTGGTCTAACAGTTGAATATCTTTATTTTCATTTTAGAACTTTTTCTGTGCTGAGAAGAAAGGTATTGATAAAGGGAATATCCCCCCGTCCCTGCAAGTACTGAGTGAGATAGGAGAGGCCACATCTGCTGTATTTGACAAGACTGTAAGTAGCATCCAGTCTGCCACATAAACACTAGAGCCAGTGTTAGAAATTAAGGCTGGACCGTCTGCCCGGGGCTGACATTTGAGCCAGCTACTTTTCAAAATGGCTGAACTTTCAGTCCAGCAAATAATTTTCCTAAGAGACAAACACTGACTAGAGCCATGCCAAATGTCAATATGAAATCGAAGCAGGCCAAGTAACATTTATTCAGTTCTTGGCCACCATGTCTGCTTTTATTCCATGTCCTGTAAGCCCCTACCTCCCCGTGTACCTGCAATGCTTGCATTATCAAGATTTTTTAAAAGGTCCACTTTGATCTCCGGTTGTTGTAACTCTGTTTCCAATAATCTATATAATTAATAAACTTATCATGTTGATATTTTCCTTTTCAGTTTTGTGCTGTGTTGAACAGATATGAGAGCAATATTGAGTTCATCCACTTCTCAGATCAGTACTCTGGCCCCAAGCAGCAAGAGTGAGTACTAAGATACCATTCAAGTGGGCACTTAACATTTTTATTGAGTCAGTACTCTTTGGGATAAGTTTGAATTTTTTTTTTACAACACTTAATTTCTTTTATTCCTAGATATTTTTGGATGTGTTAGTTTTGCATGTGGAGTGCTCAATATACATCCCTTGCAGAATGAACTAATAAGGCAAAATACTGCAAGTTAATATTTCTTAATGTCTGGGGAAAAAGAAAATTTTAATTATATCAGGATAAATTTGGAAGCCAATTGTGTTAGATGAGCAAGAAAGCAATCGGTACAGATTTTTCACACTCTATCTTTTAGTCAAGACACCCCAACCACCCTCCCAGAAACCAAGAAGGTGCTTCTGTTTTGCTTCAATGGTGAGTTACCAAGTTTCAGAGAAGAAAATTAGTTAGTGTATGACACATGGCTTTAACCAGGCAACTGTTCAGCTGTCCTTTTGGACTCCCGGTTTCCATTTTGGATGGAAATTTTTTTATTTTCATTTTTATTATATTTTTATTATATTTCATTTATAATTTACATCACATGGAGCATTTCTCTCAGTAGAAAAAATACATTTGGGGCACTTTTAAGGATCCCAAAGATGACTAGGGTTTTGTTTTGCTTTGAAAATATATTGTAAGTGATAAATTTTAACCATAAACTACAAATTGCTGGTTGACGTGTATGATTTATAGATGTATTGTCTATTCTTGAAAAAGTGTGATCGGCATTAAGAAAAACCTCTTTTTTTCCTCCAGTTGGTGACAAAGGACGTACAACTGTGGAAGACATGGACGGAATGAAAGAGCTTCTTCAGCTGGTCATCCACTGCATTGATAAAGTCAAGAGGATTAAACTGACCAAGGAGGTGGGTATCCCCCCTGTGTCCAATGATTTATCTGGCCCACAATTAAAATTGCAGACAAATAAATACTTTCTGTCTTAGAGATGAAAGTCTCCTGGATATATTCAGAAATCTGGTTTATTTTATGCAGGAGTTATATTAATGCCACCAGACTCCACATATGGAGCTGCGGGGCTTTGGTTCTTGCATTTTTTTCCTTTTTTTTTTTTTTTGATTATGAAAGTTTCTTATTAAAACAATAATTCAGACTAATTTTTTAAACACACGCTATTTTATTGTATATTTTTCTTAACATATGCAACACTTTATTTTATGTAAATCTTCTATTTCTAATTTTCTAGCAAATAAAACAACAGCTTCTGGTTGTGTAAAATAGTTTTTTTTTAAAACATTTTTATCAACTTTTATGACTCCCACCACCTCAACTAAAAAAAGTTAAAAAGTTCCTCTTCATTTAATAGGCCAAGATGAAGGCTGAGAAGAATCGCCAGCGCATGCACGAGTCGTACCTGAAGCAGACCCACTCCCAGCGACAGGAGGCCGCCCAGCTAAGGAGAGAGGAGAAGAGACGTACGGAAAAGGAACGCATCATGAATGAAGAAGATCCTGATAAGCAGAGAAAGCTGGAGGTAGGAGTCGCCCTTTTTTATCTTATTTTTATTTTTTAAATAAATGATGGAATGTTATGTGTTCATTTAATTGTTGATTTTATTTTCATTTTTTTTTTTAAATGTTTAATCTTTGTATATGGCAAATTGAGCTTTTTTAGGGAATGCGTCAGTAAATGTTTATTATGAATGTAGCAGTAATAATAATAATAATAATAATAATAATAATAATAATAATAATTATTATTATTATTATTATTATTATTATTATTATTATCAGAGAAACTGTACAGCTTTTGGGTTCAAAACACAAAAGCTATAACAAAAACATGAAAAGAAATGAGGTTAATTGAAAGAATATTTCTTCTGAAGTCTTGAGCACTTTTCCAGTATGTATTGATCACTGTTCCATCAGTATATGCAGTAACTATAATGTTGTGTCTGATGGAGGTTTTAAGACAAATTTATGTAGCACACAATAAGCCCATTTCTGACCAAACCTACATTTTTATATCTAAGAAATTTAATTATTCAAACAATAAAACTGTTGTTTTCTGGCCCTGTCCTCATAATAGCCACCAGTGTTTACAGTAACCTGGTCACTTTCCCACGTGAAATGTCTGCTCCAAATATTGTCAAAACATTCAGATTTCTTAGAAAATTGAAGTCATGAAAATTTGAAGAAAAAGAAAACAAACAAGTTTTCCTCAATAACTACATTTAAATCACAGTAAAGTGCTAACTAGCATTAACACAGCAGGATCTGAGGAATCCAGACATTTTATTGTTGAAATCATTTGTTGATTAAAAGTCAGTGAGAAGTGAAATTTAGGCTGTTTATCTTTAATGACATGAATATAAGGCCACCATGGCTTAAAGGAATGTAACAAATTCAAAGAGAAAATTCTGGAAATTATAAAAATAGTTTTGTATTTTGGATGTAACACTTTTCTTGGAATATGTTATGAGGGGAAACAATAACATGGGTAAACAATTTTTTTTCTATTTCATAGATTTAATGTCAAGCTTTGATGTCTAGGCATTTAAAAATATGTACACCAGCCCCCCATATATAGCTGTGTGGCTGTGGCATATAATTTTTTTTTTTTTCAAATTTTTTTTCATATTTCTAAAAATTCACTTTTTTCCCCTGTTGATAAATCTTTGAATTAGAAAGCATGAATTGGACACAAGGCAGTTGATAAATAAGACATAAGTGCACTCAGACTCAATAAGTAAGATGTCAGTGATGACCTCATATGCCAAGCAAAATGTTTAGCCCGGGGTTCTCCACTTGTCCATTTGTGTCTACTTTTAGCATATTTATAGTTTTTTCTGTTGTCTTCTGAAACATTAGGATTACAAATAGTCCATAGTCTCCATGTTTGCACACCTACCTGTGCTGTTACATGGGAAAGCACTAGTAACTCAAACCACAGTGCTGTTTTTTCTTTTTGTAAGGAGGGGAAAAATATCATTGTCCTGTGGCAGTAAATGATTAACAAGTGAAAGGAAAATAGAATGGATCATTTGTTTCTTTTTATGTACAGACACAGATGTGTCTGTACATATAGCCATCATCTGCGTCTGTCGTCGCCGTCGTCGTTGTCGTCGCCGTCGTCGCCGTCGCCGTGCACTTTTACCGATAACACGATAAGTGGAAAACCATTTTACCTTTTGACTTGAAACTTGCAGAACTGATGAATATTCATAATACGCAGGTCAAGTTCGAAAATCAGCATGATCGGGTCACTTTTAGGGAATTTATGCTGTTTTTATG